GTGAGTATCTTGCAAAGATTAAATCTATCTGTGATTTACTCAATGTATATGATAGTGTTGTTACTGAATATGAGCATGTAAGTGTTATTCTTGTCGGTCTTTCGATGGAGTTTGAGTCGATCATTGCCATTGCGTCTCATGAAAGTCTCTCTTTAGACATTCTGACTGATATGTTAATGGATTGTGAGGCTCAACAGAAAGTATTCTTGAATGAAAGTGCTATGGCTAATTTGACCTATTTACCTAAGGAGGTAAACAACGTTGAAGTGGATGCTAAAGAAAGTAATGCATCACAGCTGCGTTCAAGCCAAAATCGGGATCAGCAAGGTGGTGGTTATCGTGGTCGAGGCCGAGGACAGAGTTAAAACAGACCTCAATGTCATTTGTGTGAAAAGTTTGGTCATGTGGTGCAAAAATGCTACCACTGCTTTGATCGAGATTTGACTGGTGTAACTGGAGGTGAGGAGCAAACTGGTGATGTCCAGAAATAATTTGCCAGTTTGCTCGAATAAGTTCAGTCAAACAACAATCTGGAGGGCAAGTGTTTGCTCATACGTTTCAGCCTTTCTCGACCTTTCCACAATCATTTGTTCCTTATTCATACTCACCAATGTTTTACTCGGCTGGCCCAAGTATACCAGGAATAGTTGGTATGTCTCATACCCCATGATACTATCAATTTCCTGTACCTTTTGGACATCTACCATTTACTTCCATGACTCCTACAGTATTCAACTCCTCTGTTGCTACTAGTTCAACTCGTTCCTCAGTACCCTCAGAAACTAATTGGTATCCTGATACAGGTGCCACGCACCATGTCTCAAACAATTTATCAGTTTTTGACTCAGGTACTGTCTATACTGGCGTGAATACATTACTCATGGGAAATGATAAAGGAATTAAAATCGACCATATTTGTCGAGGTTTCTTTCCCACGAGATAGAAACCCTTAGTTTTACAAAACATGTTCATGTTCCTAATATTAAGAAGAAGATATTATTTGTATCACAGTTTACACGTGATAATAACATTTTTCTTGAGTTTCATGCTTCTGAGTGCATTGTGAATGATGCTCAGACCAAAATGCTTCTTCTTTGAGGGAAGCTCACGGATGAGGGGATATATCAGCTTCTGCCATATGATGGTCATCTTTCGTGTGCCAAGCAGGAGGTAGGATTTCAAGTCAACAATGTTTCTGGTTCGCAGGATGTGTTGGAGCTGTGGCATAGAAGGCTAGGTTATCCTTCGTTAGAAGTGGTTCTTTCTGTTATGAAATCTTGTAATGTTCCTTCAAATAAGTATAAATTCACTCATGTTTATACAGCTTGCATGCAAGGCAAAGCACACAAATTACCCTTTTGTAAGTCTTTGACTGAATACAATAAGCCTTTTTAATTGGTCATGTCTGATGTTTGGGGACCTGCACCGGTTATCTCTTTAGATGGCTTTGCTTACTATGTTTCATTCATCGATGTTTTTAGTCGATACACGTGGGTGTATTTACTCAAGCGTAAGTCTGAAGTCATGCAATGTTTCATTGATTTTGTTAAAATGATTGAAGTGCAATTGGGATATAAAATCAAGAAGTTGCAGTCTGATGGAGGGGGAGAATATCATGCTTTGAGGTCTTGGTTCAAAACGAATGGAGTCCTGCATCGTATATCCTGACCTGGTACATCTCAACAGAATGGTAAGGCTGAGAGGAAGCATAGGCATGTGATTGAAATGGGTCTTGCTATGTTGTCTCAAGCCTCGTTGCCATTAAAGTTTTGGAGCTATGCTTTTATGTCAGCAGTATACCTGATAAATAGGCTTCCTACGAGTATTCTGAGTGGTTGATCTCCATTTGAAGTTCTCTATAAAGAATCTCCATATTACTCCCTTATTCGTGTATTTGGCAGTGCTTGTTTTCCTTGTTTGCGCACCTTTAATCAGCATAAACTGCAAGGTTGCTCTAAATAATGTGTGTTTCTTGGTTATAGTTCCTCTTATAAAGGTTACAGGTGCTTGGATGATTCAGGCAAGGTCATTCTCTCTCGCTATGTTGTATTTGATGAGGAAGAATTTCCTTATGCGAAAGTGAGGTGTGTCGATTGCTTGGGTACATGAGGTACGTATGAAGTTGTTCCTAGTATTGCTAATGATTCTACTTGTGATGCTGGCCATAACAATGAAGTTTTTGTTACTTCAAACAATGAATAAATAGTTCATGGTAATATTGTTAATTCTCATGTAGTCTCTGTGGCTCCAGAATTTATAGAACCACTAATACGCTTCTACCTACAGCTTTTGAATTTTCAGACCGTGTTGAACAATCCTCTGATGTGGATGAACCTGCTCCCTCAGCTGTTGAGCCTATGTCAAGTCTAGTGCTTGCTCCAGAGGACAGTATACCTATCTTAGGTGTCATTCGCTTATTCTTCAAAATTTTCATCCCATGCTTACGAGAGGTAAAAATGAGATTCGCAACCAAAGGCACTTCAGGTTGTATGTCTTGATAAGGAACCCTATTCCATCAAAGAGGCTATTCGCAATCCTCACTGGGCTAAAGAGGTACAAGAAGAATATGAAGCCTTGGTGAATAATGGAACTTGGTCATTAGTCCTTCTTCCAAAGGGACGGCAAGTAGTTCATTGTAAGTGGATCTTCAAGGTGAAAAGAAATCTAGATGGGACTATGTCTCGTTACAAGGCGCATCTCGTAGCCAAAGGGTTCATTCAGCAGGCTGGAGTGGACTTTCATGAATTGTTTAGTCCAGTGGTTAAGCCAACCACTGTTCGTATAATTATCTCACTTGCCTTGTCCAAGGGATGGCAGCTTCGCCAAGTTGACATCAACAATGCTTTCTTGAATGGGGTGCTGACTGAAGAAGTTTACATGAAGTAACCCCTGGGTATGAACAAGGAAATGAAGGACCGGTGTGCAAGATTAATAAAGCCATCTATGGCTTGAAACAAACGCCTCGAGCCTGGTTTGACAGTCTTCGAGGATATCTGATTTCAGTAGGATTTGTTTTGGCACGATCGGATTCGTCGCTGTTTGTTCGAAAGACTGTCGATATCATAGTATAAATGCTAGTTTATGTTGATGAAATAATCTTAACAGGGAGTAATGCAAATAAGGTTCAAATAGTGATCAATGATTTGAACAAATAATTTGCATTGAAAGATCTTTGTTCCTTTAGTTTTTTTTTTTTTTTGGCATTGAGGTGTGCCATGATGTTGATGGTTTAGTTTTGAGTCAGAAGAAATATATTCATGAACTGTTAGAGAGTTTTGGCTTTGCTAATGCGAAAGAACTCCCCACTCCCATGGTTTCTACAAGAAGGCTTTCAGCAAATGGGGGTGAACTCATTACAAATGTTACTGAGTATCGTAGCATAGTGGGTGCTCTTCAATATGTGGTAGTAACTCGTCTGGACATTGCTTACTCGGTGAATAGGGTATGTCAATTTATGCAGGCACCATGTGTTATACACTTTCAAGCAGTCAAGAGGATCTTGTGTTATCTTCAAGGCACTGCTGACTATGGGTTATGATTCACTTCATCATCAAGACTGTCGTTAATTGGCTTTGCTGATGCAACGTGGGCTTCCGATATTGATGATAGGCGATCCACTTCGGGGTTCTGTATCTATTTTGGTGGGAATCTTATTGCATGGAGTTCGCGTAAGCAGCAAGTCATTGCACGTTCTACTGCTGAGGCTGAGTATAGGAGCGTTGCCTCTGCTGCTACGGATTTGGTATGGATTATGGCCTTGCTTAAGGAGCAGCATGTTGTCGTGCATGGATGAGAAATCCTGTGGTGTGACAATAGGAGTGTTGTGGTTGTTTGTGCTAATCATGTGATTCATTCAAAATTCAAGCATGTCGAGCTCGATTTATTCTTTGTCCGTGAAATGGTGGCTGCTGGAAAACTGCAAGTGCATGAAGTTCCAGCCTATGAACAGGTTGTTGATGTGTTAACAAAACCACTCTCAGCACCTATGATTTTAAAGCATCGCCAAAAACTCTTGGTCACTCAATTGTTTAGAAAGTTAGAAAGTATGGGGAATGTTGATTCTTAATCTGTTGCTTAGAAAGTTGGAAAGCATGAAGAATGTTGATCTTCAATCAATCTGTTGTTTTAGAAGTCCGAAAGCTTTGGGAATGTTGAGGCTTGATGGATAAGAAGAAGACGGGTGAATGTAATAGGTTCTCATTCAGTTATGAGTCAGTTTGCATGAGTTAGTTAGTGTTAGGTTGTTAAGCTTCGGTTATGAATAAGTTAGGCTTCTGTTATAGTTGGTTATCCATGTACATAGAGCTATAAATAAGCTTAGTTGTAAAAGCAGAGATTAGATCAATTTTAAAGGTTTAGAGAGCCTATTATCTCTTATTTTGTTCCTTTACTCTTGTGTTGTAGCTTTACTATTCTTGACAAACTGCAACTCCAGAATATGTTATTGAAAACAAAACTTTCAAAGATAAATAAACAAAAAAAAATCTATTAACACAATGACAGAGGAGACGAAAAGTAAAGAAAGAAAAGAAGATGTGAAATATAGTTGGAGATTCTCATAATAACTTGATGCTTTTGCAATTCAACTTGTCCCCTAAAAGAGGCTCACCTTCTCTACTAATTAATCCAAGTCCTGTATCAGTCGGAAATTTGACATTAGGTTATATGTCACATCAATAGTAGTTTAGACGACTGCATTTTGAGAATTCCAACTAATATTATTAAAAAGAACAATCATAAATCTCAAACATAACTTGTAAAATGATAAAACAAAGCATTGAGAGACCTCCCTTCCCCAACTTATTTTATTAAATGAATGAAAGGGATTAATTAATGTTTTGTAGTAAGAGAAAAACTCTAGTTTGCTTCTCACATGCAAGAGTTGACCTTATCAAATCATGTCAAATTAAAGTATAGAGACTAATCTCATATCTGCGTATAGTAAAGGGACCAAAATTATAATTTAACCTTAAATATAACAAAATAAGAGGGAAGCCAAATTAGGAAATGATGTCTCCGAAGATGTTGTCTCTGTTGAGAGAGTCACATATATTTACATTGGTAGAAAGAGAAGAAGAAGCAAAATTGAAGTGGTGATTATGGAGAAATGAGGATTTGTCATCAACCATTTGGTCTAATGAAATTTGAGGAGCAGGCTGCATTTGGATGCACACTATTTCAGCCTGAGCCATAGCTAGCTGCATTTGAAGCTGAGAAACCTGGTTCTGCAAATAAGATATGGCCCCTACACATCCATACACTGGGTCTCTCACCCTTGCGTTTGCCTCATACACCAAACTGCTCACTGCATCTGCCCTTTGCTGCACTGGAAGCTCCTGCATGGTTTCAATTAAAGATAAAGGACCAAGTTGTTTAACTCCAAAAATGCTAGAATATAGACAATTTGAACCTGCAACATCTTGCTGACATTGCTAGCACCGAAAACCTTATGAACCATGGCGAACTTGTGTGGATCATCGGAAGGGAAATAAGGAGCAAAGATGCAGTCCTTGGCGCAGCGGCGACGGAGCAACTTGCAGGAAGCGCAAGGCGAGTTCCCTCCCATTGTTATGGGGAATCAATCAAAGTTGGTAAACAGAAACTGATGAAGACAACTAGAAAGAAAAGTAAATTACAACTTATCTGCGAGTAAAGTGGAAGCTTAGTTAAATTGGAGTTGAAGAGGATGAGCTGTGAGGGTACGCATATTTATAATGCCCCATGAACGTGTGTGCCAAAACATCAAACCAAGGTAACTCTCCTCATCTTTTCTTTCTCCTTCCTTTTGGTTTTAAAGAAATAATAATGGGTGAACTACACCAATATATTTATTTCTTTATTAATAAAAGTTTTAGACAAAGGGTAGCTAAGGCCCTCCACCTAAATAATAATAATAATAATAATGATGTGGTATCCAACTTTTTTTCACTAAATGTGGCCTTCCAAATACGAAAAATATCTCAATGTGATTTTTTGACCTATGTTTTCTGTAGATCACCAATGACTATGTAACTTTGTGCTGATGTGGAACGTTAACCATGCCAAAATCCTATTTTTTTTCTCTCAATCTGACCTTCCAACTCAAAAAAATAACTTAATATGGCCTTCCTATTTTTTCTCTTCTATTTTTTACTAAACTTTAAAAGTTTTCAATTTAATCACTCAACTTTTGAATTACTCGTGTTTTAATCATAATGATTTATTTTATTAATATGTATGTATGATGTGACATTTATTATTCTTATTTTATTAATATATGATTAAAATAATATTAATTAAATTAAAATTTTAAAATTATATTGAAACAAAAAAAATTCCAAAATTATAATTAAATTAAAAAATATTCCATATGCTTTATATATTTCCAAATATCCACTCTCATCCTTTATCATGTCATTTCATTTTTCTTCATTTTCAACCAAATATTTCTTTTTTTTCTTCCATTACTCGGTCAAGTAGCTCATCCCCAAATTTTTCAATTTTTTTTACAAGTTCAATATGGGTTCATTGAATCTGGTAATGAAAGAAAAAATCTTTAGTTGAAAAGAAAAAATGTCACACCATACATAAATATTAATAAAATAAATCATGATGATTAAAACAGGAGCAATTCAAAAGTTGAGTGATTAAATTGAAAACTTTTAAAGTTTAATGACCAAAATTGAAGAGAAAAATAGGATGGCCAATTGAGTTATTTTCTTGAGTTGGAGGGTTAGATTGAGAGAAAAAATAGGATGCTGGCATGCTTAATGTGCCATGTCAGCACAAAGTAACAGAGCCATTGGTTAATGACGTAAAATGTTGGTTAAAGGACCACATTGAGTTTTTTTCTAACTTGAAGGGTTACATTGATTTTTCTTTTAAAAAAAGTACAAGGGTCTTAGGTTCTATTTTGCTAAAATTTTATTTATGTAATATCTATAATGTTCAAATCTATTTCTACCTATAAATAAAAGAATATTAAATTAAAGTGATTTCAAAGTAGTGTATATTTTAAATATTCTCGAAATTTTGACTTTGAACGTTTAATCATCCTTGTTGCAGTCGCTATTATTCGAATCCAAGAACTCTAGAAATAACAACCAATTCTTTAACCACTGAGGTAATTTAGTTATTGCAAAGAAGATTAAAAATTCAAATATGTTTGATTTCGTATTCTATTATATGAAATATATTTTAATTTTTATAAAATTTATAATTCGATTATGATCTAAAACTTTTATTAGCCAACAAAAGCAAGTGTGTAACACCCTAAACCCGATTGGGCCTAAAGTGCCAAATTGGGCTACTGAGGTAACCTTTGATCCTCACAACCTGTTCATTTTCTTTTCAAATATATTGAATGGTATCATAATAAAATATAAATAGTTGTTATAAAAGCATTTTACAAAATCTGAGCTCTGTGATGAATGATTTAAATCAAAATAATACATCTCGAAGTTTACAACTCAAATAAATAAGTAAGGTTCTATGAATACACATGCCCACTAAAGATACAATACTCTGTCGAAGATGCTGGAAGTCATGCGGCAACAGTGCTTCACTAACTGCTCAAGCTACGAACCTGCCAACGAAAAACATTCAAAGGCTGACTTACAAAGCTTAGTAATATAATCGCTAATCTAGAGCAGTATAAGAATTCCATAAACTAAGCATGCTAGAAACATAGTATTAAGCAGTAGGTACAAGCATGATTCCAATCAGTACTACCTACGTAAGGTCTTCTAGTTATATCTCTCGAATCTACGTCTCATGCTTCCCTTAGTCTTTGCTAAGGGCCCCGCAATGAGTATATAACTACTATGTCTTTAACCTCATTATCATCCTATAATGCATCACCATGCCAAACACAATGACGGTACCAGGTATCACAGAGACGTCGATACTATCACTCAACAACAAGTAAGCATCGTGGTGTGGCTCGGGGTCACATAGCATCACGGAACTCCCACCTCGGTCTACTTAATAGAGGTACCTTGGGTAGACCTGGGTCACACAACATCAACATCTCCCAAGTATCTCAGGCAAGGTCTGAGTCGCATAGCATCGACATCTTCCGATACCTCAGGCTAGGTCTGGGTCACATAGCATCAACACCTTGCCTGGATAGTCTACTCCTGCTAAGTACTCGAAACGTGTCTGGGTTACATAGCATCAGTATCACGATCAACTACAGACTAAAATGCATCTTGCACTAACTTGGATATATCCGGATATCCTATGGACACAAGACGACTGTCCTACTGCTAAAGTAACTCGGGTGTCCTCACCGTTTCCCGAGTGACACACAAATGCATAAGTCTTATGGAATCTTACCTCATAAGGCTTTTATGGCTATCGCATAATTAATGTTATTATCTCATTATTATTATAAGGCTCTCATATAGAGATACGCCTTAACACATGTCAACTGATGCCACACTGCAACAGGCGAAGTAGCCTGATCTCTCACTACTGAACTTATTGAAGTCAGGTGAGGTGATATTTGCTTCACCCAAGACTATCCCGCTCGTCCTCTTGCCTAGGACGTTATGGGAAGGGTATAATACTTATGGGGTATTTTACTCATTTCTACCTCTGAAGAGCTCTCTAAACGTTTCAAAATTTCAGGTGATTATGGTGCTTGCAATACACTGATTGATTCACTGGTTAGCCTGATACCTGACTCGAGCTTGATATTGGGTAACAAAACTCCTAATGTTATTATAATACTTCTCCCAATACCCCTTGAAGTAGTTGAACAACTTATCCATTTTTTGTTCACTGACATTCTCTAAGCACCACACTCTTCATCGATATTGAATCTGACATATTTATCGTATCACTCATCGGGTATCTCATGTAGTGATCCTCAATCCCAACTATCTGTAATGTCTTCGATTGAAGATACTTCAGTTTATTACGCTTAATATGGTTACACCCGATGTAACCTACTCCTACGAGTGTTTTTAGGTATGTTTGGTCATATATGTCCCTCACGGACTAAGTCTTACTATTACGGATCATCCTTAGATCTTACGGACCTTAAACGGGTCAAAATAACCTCAACAACACTTAGGACCTTTCATGGATGCAAATCCATCCTTTTTCATCGAGAAAAACAGAGAAAGGATTAATCCTTTCTGTCGAGGAATCGATCCTTTTCTCCAAGGGATCGATCCTTTCTCCTGAGGGATCAATCCTTTTGGGAAGGGATAGATCCTTTGTTAGACATAAACTTTGGGATCGATCCCTTTAGTCGAGGGATCGATCCTTTTTCTGGGAATGACTTGCTTAAGCTCGAGAATTACTCAAAAATCACCCAAAAATGACATAGGTTGGTTTCTAAACTTATTCAAAAGCTTTAGTAAGTTATTTAGGGTCTTAAGGCATCATTTAAACATATTATTAACGCCTAAAATGTGATTTGGTTAAGAGATCAAAGATAAACCCTAAAAATGTTCAAATCACCAAATCTTAGCTAAAACCATAGATTTATGAAACCTTAATACTCCAAAGGATTATAAATACACTACCTTGATTTTTTTTAATCACGATTTTGAGCTTCTTGCTTAGCTACACTATTTTTCTTGGTAATTTGGGTAAAAACCCCCCACTTTTCCTTAGCTAGAGAAACCCAAGGCTTTGCAACATTAATAAGGGTTTAATGAAGGAATTATGAACAAAAATGAAACTTGAAGGAAGTGAGAAATAGCTCAAATGACCTACCTTTGATTTTGGCTCTTGAAGAAGAAATGAGAAAAGTGGAAGAGAAGGAAAAGAGGAAAATGAAGAGAAAGTGACAAAATGTGATATAAAAACCCTCATCTTACAAAATGGAGAAATTACGCTTTTAGTCCTTCTCCATCTTTCCACTATTCAAAAACCTTCTTATTAAGGCTAATTGGGCCTAAGCCCAAGCCCAATCAAGTCCATCAACTTATGAATTTCACAAGGTCCACTTACTTATCGGGTAAACCCGAAACTACTGACCTAAAATTTGGAGTGTTACAAAGTGTATGCATACAATACAAATTTGTTTATTAGCATAATCCTTTGAAAATCTAACATCAGATATACTTCATGACGAATTATTCAACATGAAGATCATACTTCAACGATTCTCTATAGATTCATATGACAAGAAAATTGATATATCGCGATTTAAAAGAGACCCCGTGAGCAAAGTATTCATCTGTCGTTGTCACACAATAGTCTAGCCGGCTTTGCTCTATCTATTGTTCCATTATTTAAAAGAAATACAAGTTCAATTTGTTTAAGTCGTGCCTGTATTGACCAAGTCAATTAACTTGTGACAAAAAATTGTCTTTATGTTTGATGTTTAAGGTTTGTATTTGACTTTGTTAATATTGTTATCTTTAATATTTAAATTCGAGTTTAATTGCTAAGAATACAATAAATATTGAATGAATCCTCAAACTTTAAATTGTTCTAATTGAGTTCTCAGAGTATTATATTAATTAATGTTAGTATACTATAATATCAATCATGTTATTCAAAATATGTGTGTACATATTCTATATCAAAATTTTATGTTAGTCCTTATACTATGGGTAATTTGTGGGTTTAATTCGTATACTTTAATCTGATCAATTTATGTATTGTACTTTTACATTTTAAAATTTCAATCTTAATTGAATAATAATCCTTAAATTTATAA